AAGCCCAGGTTTCTAACTGATACTTCAGTATATTATTATTACGGATCATAAATTCAGTCGAAAAATAAATCAAGACGGCTGCTCTGTAAAACAAAGAAGTGCTCAAAATGATAGAGCATCAATCAAAGGTCGTTCGGGAAGTGTCACTGCATCCTTCAAAAAGTAGCAGATGAACCTCTGTACATCTGACATTCAAAAAACACTTGCCCATTACGCGTATTTTCAATCGGAGGGACCACAAGATTACAAACAACATTTTCTATCACTAAATTCATCAATGTAGAAAAAACATGATACGAATATCCACCTTATACGCCCGATGTAAATTGTGGTAAAATGACTTGTGGCACCGTTTGGAAGTGAAAAGGACGTTGACCTATGAAGATCGATCAGGATTCAGCTCTTACGTTCGCTTGTGAGGGTCATTAGATCCAGCGTACACAGTTCGTTGAAGTTAAATCAACCCAGGTGCATTGTGGTCCATAATCTGCCTCAAAGCTATGCTTGTTAGTTCGATTACACCAAGCAACCAACTACAGGTGGCGATCATGGAAGTGCATGATCACATCTCCACATTCCATATGCAACAAATGCATGAGATCACAAACAGGGGTGTAAAAGGGAGTATGCACGTGACTGACTTCGTGTCAACACCCATGCCAATGGTTTTACCAATCACTGTCTTTAGTTTGGATGCTTGCTTGTTCTCACCGATACCACTCATCTGATGTTCCTATCAGACTCGGGCAATGCACCCAAGACATCAATGTTCAAACGCTGAAAGTGTTTTCACGTCCATGTCACACAGCAGCCAAAATTATGACCCACATAATCATATGGAGCGCATCCAATTATTATTGTAAACTCGACCCTTGATGGACAAGCTGATGTCACGCCTACGCCACAAGTGATGCAGGTTAGCGAAAGCTGCTCTAGCCTCCTCAATCCGGATGGAAATATCATCTTCGCGAGAGCAACGAGACTAATACAGCTGCGAAGGAAGATAAGTTTGTCTACTACGTAAATCGAATCATCCGCAAGCATAAGGCTGAAGTTTGAGCCCACCCAGACTTCTAGCAGCACTTAACACTGCAAGTGTAAAGCGCATGCAAAACCGTGGGGCAGCATCTTTTGGACTATTTAATATTGTCTGCCTTACAGTGGCATCAGATTCAAGAACAGCCATGTCATCTGAGCGAATACCATGGGGGAATTTGGAACCCACAGGTATTGGGGGCCGGTAGTGAGTCTTCCATATGAAGTTGAAATCGAGAGGTGAAAGAGGACGACATTGCCTGATATCACTTGATGTGGTGAACTCATGCTAGAGCTTCCCATAGGCCTTCACGCGGCCAAGGGAGTTAGCATACAGAGCCTTAAGGAGAAACAAGAATTTATGGGAGACATCTTTGCTCCACAGACAATGCCAGAGTTCCTGAAGATCCAAAGAGCCAAAGGCAGCTTTCAAGATAAAGAACACAACGAAAGTAAGTCGTTGGAAGCAACGTCGCTGGTGGAGGTCTGCACTGTGGTCGACGTTTCCTATTGCAGGACTGTTGTGACGTAGTGTTGCAACTCTGTGTCGGTCCCTTGGATTCCTGCTACACCCACTATGGTATATCGAAAGGCACGGTGACTTCAGACAGCCCCTTATGGAGACAAAGGAAAATTATTGTAACCGTATTTAAAGGACAATGACAGAATGTTCCACAAGGTCGTGCTAGAATCTCCGTGAGGGGGTGAGAAGCGTCGAGTTAAAGATACTCGAGCCGGATTGGCTGGTATTCTGACCGATCAGGGACTCCCTTGTTCGGACCGCATCCTGCACGTGACACATCCGTCTAAATGTGTGATGTTCGGTTATTAGGGACGGCTGGCCTCCGCACAAGGACGGAAACCAGCTTGGCTTTCATGGATTAGCCTCGCCCTGTGTTTAGTCAACCTTCGAGGGATAAGATCGAATAGTACCTTCGTTGCCGCGGCTACCAAACTGATGCTAAGTTGATTTGGACACAGCGTCCGTGTACCAATTTTGAAGATAGGAATAACTGTTGACGTGCCCCATTCTGCAGGCACTTTCTCTTCGTTCCACATCGCAATTATGAGTTTTATTGGATGGTTCACTGGAGATACTCGGCCTTCTTTAAGGAGGGCTGGATAAAGGTCGTCCGGTCCTGGTACCTTCCCATGTCTCAGTACCGATATTAAGTGCTTCAGTTCTTCTTCTGAATGGCGATTAAGGTTTGGATTCTGTTCGCCCATATGCACCATCCCCAAAAGCTGTGTTGCTGTTCTTCGAGGTGTTCATCCCATCTTTCCATTCGACGTTTTTGCGAGTGAATTAATGAGTCAGCTTTTTCACTTACCGTTTAACCGACCGTTGCTTTCCTAGGGTTAGTCTACCGTATCAGTTGATATAGGGCGCGGCTGTTTCCGGCAGCAAAACCCTTCTCCATCTCTTGAGTATTCAAAGTTCATCAGAGCTCTCTGTTTTTCCCTAGGCTCTTAATTATTCGGTGTTTGAGGGATCTGAACGCGCCGTCGTAGTCGTTGCCTACTGGTAAGAACTTCCTGACATCAATCAAGATTAGTGAATTCGACGATATCCAGTGGTCATTTGGGGGCATAAACCAACAATCAATATTACAAACTATGTCAAAAGGCGTCGAACTTGATTGGGATGGATAACCCAACGGCACAAAGACGACTGTTTGCTGGGACCCAAGCCAGCAAAGCGCGTATAACTCTGGGGCTGGGTACAATTGCCACGCCAAATGCGCCACAAGTCGCCGCTTCGCATGGAGGGAGAAATGTGGAAAAGCTGACCTTGTCCTTGGCGTTTTTGGATGTATGTAGGGTCTACTCCCGAAAACAACTGACAGACGGGCTAGGAACCTTGTTAAGAGCATCCAAAGAACCGGTCGAAATTGTGCCCTCCTGAAGAAAATTCTGTTTAAGGAAAATTGGGCACTCTCCCAAAAAGCATGTTCATGGTCGTTTAATTCGTCACTCAGGCGTATCCGAGCTGTATCGACCATGCATTGATTCCCCAGAACGAACTCATTGCGAAAGGCACCGGTTGTCGCCACAGGGGCCAAAGTTCGATCGGGCAGCACTACTTAGTTTCCGTTTCCATTTTTCAGATCTGCATTTTCATCTGTGGACTAAATAGTTTTGTTTTTGGCAACCTACAACGCACACAACTTCAAATTTCTACTGTTGCTGTCATCATTGCACCGTACACACCAAAAACGGATACCTCTATTTGACATTTCATTGTGGTTTTCTCACAAACGTTCAACGTTAGTTACTCGGCCAACATGGCTTGTGTGGACTTTGAAGATGTGGCTGTCTAATCAAGTGCGGTGAGATGGAACCTCATTATAGACTTTTCAACCTGCTTTCTACGGCGCAGTTCAGAGTGAATCTCACTGTCGATCGGTACTAGGTTGATAAGACGAGGTGAAACTAGGAGAACGGATGTCCTCTGTATTCAGTAGTGAATAAAGTTCAATGGAACAGTATGGTTGTTGTGGCCTATTCAGACGGCCATCTTCGGGCAATTTCGTTGGAGAACGAAACCCACAGTAAGCACCGGGTGCATAGATTTTCAGTCCACCATTCTCTAGTATGCGATGTTCTCAAAACGGGATTCAATAGTTGAATACCATAGGAAACAGAAATATTATTGCACATGACACTTATCCTAAGCTGGAATCACTGTATTCCACTGATGTATTCCAACGATCGATACAATCACAAAAGACAGAACAGCGCTGTTTTGGAAATAAAACTTCCGTTGTAGTAGGAAAATAAATGAGTCATAGCAACCATCATACGAATGCCCGGGTTAGAAGGATCGCTTCGGTGAAAACATCACTTTTGGTTGGCCGATCGAGGCAGTCTATTTATTGTGAACAACTGTAGTTCATCCTGGAAGCCCAGGTTTCTAACTGATACTTCAGTATATTATTATTACGGATCATAAATTCAGTCGAAAAATAAATCAAGACGGCTGCTCTGTAAAACAAAGAAGTGCTCAAAATGATAGAGCATCAATCAAAGGTCGTTCGGGAAGTGTCACTGCATCCTTCAAAAAGTAGCAGATGAACCTCTGTACATCTGACATTCAAAAAACACTTGCCCATTACGCGTATTTTCAATCGGAGGGACCACAAGATTACAAACAACATTTTCTATCACTAAATTCATCAATGTAGAAAAAACATGATACGAATATCCACCTTATACGCCCGATGTAAATTGTGGTAAAATGACTTGTGGCACCGTTTGGAAGTGAAAAGGACGTTGACCTATGAAGATCGATCAGGATTCAGCTCTTACGTTCGCTTGTGAGGGTCATTAGATCCAGCGTACACAGTTCGTTGAAGTTAAATCAACCCAGGTGCATTGTGGTCCATAATCTGCCTCAAAGCTATGCTTGTTAGTTCGATTACACCAAGCAACCAACTACAGGTGGCGATCATGGAAGTGCATGATCACATCTCCACATTCCATATGCAATCAGCAGCATCATTTACTAAATCATGCTAAATTCAATAGACGGGGTAGTGCAGGCCGTAGTTTGTAATGGGAAAAACACGTGAAACAATGGCGGATAGTTGAACGAACCGGTTCCGATAAATTAAGAATCGGAACTCAACTAAATTCCACATGAGCAACAGTCAATCTGATAATGAACTTCAGTTAATCACTGATCGCGGATGTGCTTATTGGTGTAACAGAATTGTGGTGCATTTTGCCGTACCTTATTGCAGCCGTCATCAGTACGCAATCGTAGCACGAGTGGTGAAAATAAATCTACCTACAGCTGACCGTATGCTACCAGCCATCAGGGAGTGTCATTAAACACGCGATCAGTCATGTGTGGGACCAGCTGAACTACCGGAGAAAGGGACCGATTGTGGGTTAATACAGACTCTCAAACATCAGGTTCGCCGAACCAACGACAGAAAAAAACGGGATAGAAGGAAACGAACCTGCAGATAGCAAACAATGTTCCGCTGTTGGATGCCACGCAACCAAGCCCACGCGTCGCTGGTGTGCAACCAAGTCCGCTACAGGAACAGTCAAATTGACTCCAGGTTCCAAGCCACCCTCTGGGATGTGCCAAACTTTCACTGTGGTGTCTTCTGAGGCACTTGCGATGAGATCATCACTATGCGGACACCACTGAATATCAAGTACAGCTGCTTTATGGCCAGCAACCAAAGGAGCATCTCGTTCTACACGTCCAACCTGAAAATGCAAGTCGAGCAAAATGGATGAGTAGTAGACGAAACTATCTCGAAAGTTGATTGACCTTGGAACATTGGACAAAAGAGCCAATCACTTCACGCCCGATGCAAATTTTTGTTCAACTGAAGCATAACTTTCGATTGCAAGGAACTACCAAAATAAAGTGAATCAAACTCAAACTACATAGAAATATGCAAGAAGTTTGACTGTTTTCTCTAATCTGAAGGCAAGCTACAGATGAATGTTTACAATTCGGCATTTAGGTTATTTAATAAAATAATGCGAAACCCCATCTGGTTCACACAAATATACTGCGTCGATTTACAGAAATTATGACACTCATGATGCTTTTCACCACCTAGAGCTGAAGCCAAAGAACCATTTGAAGAAGTGTAGTCCATAAGAATAGTGTTGTCAAAGCAACTGAAGGTAACCGGGAACGACGCTCAACTTTTATCTCCTAAAATACGCGGATTGTGATTAGTGTTTCATTTGTGAAGTAACATCATGGAAATATGGCTTACGAAATCTGTAAGCGCACGTACAAAATAGAGTGCTGCTAAGATATTTAACATATGTCGTAGTATCACTGGCAGTAGACTTCAGAAGAGGACTCATGAGGACGATAAAGTGATTCACATAACTGTCTTATCTCAAGAAGATATGCGAGCAGTTAGTTCAGCGGAAACATGAGACATGTAAAAGGACAGGAATTCTTCGGATTACGCATTCGGTACATGCAGCTTCTTGTTTCGATATAGAGGTTCATCGCTGGTAGTGTTTATTTGTGTCCAAAAAATTATCGTTCGTATCGATGACTGATTACACAATTCGTCAAAACAATACACAAATGCCGTTCAACCAGTGAAGCTGGTTTGGATGTGAGTGCAAAGGTCCAGTAAAGTATCCGACCAGATATCATTTCGTACCAACGTACGAAGGTGCTCCTGACAGGCATATCAACAGTGGGATCTACGATGATTTGTTAGCAGAGTAGGCTGGGTTGTGGTCTGAATGACTAGCTCTTTTTGTCGATGTTTTTTAAGCGAAAGTGGTAACCTCTATTCGACTAAACCAGGGTATTGTGATTGGTACCAACCGGGGTGTCTTGCGCGCAACATTAGTTCGAATAATCCTCGGTCTGAGGAAACACACACGGTCAGTGGTGCTCGCGTATCAAAACTATCGCCTTCAACGCGTAGCCACCCATGTTCCTGTTCCCTCAGAGCAATATACAATCCAAACTAACTGATTACGCTGTCGACCCCATTGCTCGGCTATATTTCTTCCAGCTGTCCCAATTCGGTGAATGGAACTGTATCAGGTGAAACCAACGAATCCCTGTGGTTTACAGATGATAAGCTGAACTGAACACACGAGTAAATGAGTTGACCTCGAAGTGGCAACCGTCAAATTGGTTTCCGGGTTAGCGGAAGGAGGTCTACCGTGTGCTGATTATATGAAACAGTATCCGGTTGCGCGTATCCAGTCCATATTTTGTAAGCCGAATAGTTTAAGAAGGTTTCACAAAGTAAAAAACAACTTCAATCAGCTAGAGGACACTTGGTACCTACAGAAAAACCGCTTTCGGGAAAAGTCGGAAGATCTACTTATCGTTCTCCAGACATTTCCACGAACGCTAACTCATTTGTACAACCCAGATGTTGCGTTAGACACCAAGGCTCATAATACCAAGACAATTATAGTAAGAAAATCCGTACATTCAATCAACTGGAAAATGTTTGAGACCGATTGGGTAGTCACCGTTTCAGAGAGGTTTTGTTTTATTGCTGGGCAACGTTTCGCTTTTGACACAAAACCTTCGTCATGCCAATTGAGTAAGTAAGCAGGTTGATTGGGTTTTCAGGCAGTCGAGAAACCAATCCACAGGGTTTACTTTAGCGGCAACTAAGACGGGTATTGGTGCCAATACCAAGGCCCAACGAGGAGTGGATCGGAACAGCGGTCAATCCATATAAAACAGGGACATGTGAAGTCATTAAAAGGGCACTGAATACGGCTAACATTAGAGTAGCACTCCAGAAGGGAAAGATTTTACGCTCGATGTTGGTGAATTTGAAGAATCGCCTTCCGGTTGACAGGACTGGGAACTGTGTATAAAAAATAAAATGTAACGACTGTACGAAGGTTTATATAGGTCAGAGAGCCAGGGAATTACACACCAGAACCGGTGAGCATAAGCGATCCATTAATAGACCACCGATAGACGTAGATATCAGGCGATAGTCAAAAATTCGGCAATGGCAGGGCATAGGACAGATTTAGAAAATGTGGACATCCTGAGATGGGATTTCAGATTCACACCACAGCGACTGGTGGCCGAGGCGGTGGAAATCACCAAGCATCCCAGCGTAAATAGAATAGAGGGCGTAGAAATTGCAGTCGTGTGGAGAGCTGTTTTAGATCAGTCAAGATGACACGAGGCGGTGTGCAGTTATCAGCGAAATGGTCTGGGTCTAAAAGTACGAAATCCAATTAGAGGAAGATCCAATTAACCACCTCCACTCCCATCCCCGAAACCATTGTCCCGGCACCCTTCGAAGAGCACAGGTGAACGAAATATGTGAACGACCCTGACAGGAATATTCCATTGGGGTGACCTAAACTGAAAGAGCAAGGACGAAACATTCGGGTTCAACATGGAGGTAAATCCTCCCCCCTAACCAACCTATCTATCTATCGTAAATGTTAGTCGTCCCCACTAGCCAACAAACAGGAACATCAGACTGAACACCTAGCACTGATCAAGTCGGCTAGTCCTAAGAAATCTCACGGATTGGTTCCCTGACTGCCTTAAAACCCAATCAACCCAAGCTCTTGTGTCAAAAGTGAAACGTTTCCCAGCAATAAATCCACCGATTGTTTACAAAACTTCTCCGAAAAATCAGTACAACTTTCCGAGGCTATACTTTAAAACAAATCTGCGGAATGCTTAACACTCCATTTCGAAGGGATAATGTTGTTTAAAAATTCGATAAAAAAATTGGCACAGACGTTCTAGTTTCCCTTTGCGTGACAGCTGTTCACAGTGTACTCCGCTGAGTTGATTCCAAAGGCAGGATTTTCTTGAGACATACGGAAGTCGCAATCCAACAAAAATTGATTTTGTAAGCATGCGCTGGCCGCGGTGGGATTGCAAGTTGCTTTGCACAGAGCATCGAGTGCCGGGTATAGAGCACAATCCGCAAGATAAAATTCCAAAAACAACTCAAAGCAGTCGGACCAAAGTTGAATTTTTGCAAGTAAGATTTGGTATAGAATAGTGAAAAACGACAGGACAGCGGGCAACAATTAAGAATTTATTGATGTGAGTTGTTTCAACTAGGTTGGCCTTGTGGCCATATGGTCCTGTGGTGTCTTCTAGTACTTTTTCAACGAGATCGATAGACTATAGTAATAGGGACTGACCATCATATGAAAAATAAAGGAGCATTATAGAAAATTCACTCACTTTCTCTATTGGGAGAACTAGAAAGGCGCCGCCACCGGCGGCTTCAGTAATGATGGCCAAGTACTTTGGGTTAACGGCACAAAACCGGGCGTCCCAGCTACTCTTCGTAATTCTGATATCTTCATAACAAGCATCTTTCCTGGCTGGTTTCCCGAAAACGTGCTTAAACTTGCTGCGTCGCATAAACATCTGAGAAAAACAGTATTATTAAAACAGTGTGAAGGTTTGCAGGTTTGAAGGGGAAGTTGCGAAACGCAGACATCAATAACGGAAAATGAAAGCAGCCATAGGGAATGGTGTAACCTTTGGCTTCCGGGCGAACCGCCGCTGTATTAGGACACGCTTTTAGCATGGTTCACTTTCAAGAATAGTCCATAAAAATTCAGTGGCGTGTAATCTGAGGAATCCCATGTAAACGGTAGCTAGGAGACAACGCAACTCTGGCCGACACGACAGTCATATGGATCAAAACCGAGCGATTGCCAACTGCGGTTGTATAGCTGTATAGTTGTGAATGCCGCCACAACAGAACATATTGTGCACAAAAGAAAACTTCAACGACACTACAGTGGATTGCCAAACAGCTTGAGGGAGCTAATCGATAAGTGAGGCCGCTGTATAATGCTTCGCAGTAATCCAGATCCCGTTTTAACACGAACAACTGAAAGATGTATTTCATTCCTGGACTTTGTTTTATTATCATGCACAATACTCGAATATGGAGGGACTGAGTTGTAGTTGGTCAACGAAACCGGAATTGGTGACGAGATTACCAGCCCCAAAACCAGGGTTTCTTTCTTTTTGGAAAGCAGCGTGCTATTTCTCGCGCTGACTGTCTCGCTCGCAGGAGGTCGTGGCGGCCTGCTTGGCATGCCAGTTGGGAAAGTTTTCGCACATTTTTCGCGTTTCTCACTTCATTCATATTTTCATCCTTTAGGGCTCACCAATCTTCGCGATCCGCACAGATGCGCACTTCTGCTAGGATTATTCCAATTCTTCCAATTGTGTTACGCTCCTGACCAATAAGAATGTATGTCCCAGCTCCCAACAATTTTCTATTTTGGTTCAAGATCCAATGCCTCTATATAATTGGGTGCGCCGTTATGCAAACAAAGCTGGCATCTACCAGGATTGTTTATAGTGCTTCTAAGCAAGAGCCAGTATGTGAAGACGGAAACGCATCACACCTGTACGCTCCAAAGAGTGCAAACAAGCAATAATGGACGAGCATGTAGCCACAACCCAAAACGATGACAACGACCTCTATCTGTGTAGCAGATTGGTTAGTATGTGAGGAGTGCCATGTGGTTAGATGATTTCCGTTGTCGCCGAAGTTAGTACTAAACACTCATAGGCCGTGATCTGTAGGTATTCGCCATCTTTCGTGCTTTTCAACACCAGTCCAGGTGGATCAAGTGAGTCTCAGCGGTGCCTACACCTCCAGACTCTCAATAGGGCAATCTGGATAGAAACTGACAGAAACAGAACCGCTGACATCGATTAGCGCCCATATCTTCTATCACCTCCAACCAGACACAGAGGGCATCACGTGGACACTCTCCTGGAAGGCGATTCCCAAAGACAGTCCCCGGAATTTTCGCACTCTTTCATACCTCTCTACCAGGTCAAAGGCTGGCCGCCTCTCTGCTTACAGCTCCCTGAATTGGGCACGGAAAACAGCACTCTCGTCGCCAAATGCGGGTTCGGTATAAACAACATATGGCCAGAACAACACATCCCCCAGTGCTGGACACATTTTACGTTCTAAGCCCCCATTTCACAACCAAACATTCGCTTTCTAACTGTCTCATTGCGGATTCATTCGCACCAGCCAACATTAGCTATGATTCTGAGACAACGGTCGGGCTGAATGATTTTCGGGGTCTGCGGGAACGTTCCTCCAAAGTTAAGCAGTGCCACTTTTCTCTCTGATATCCGGTGCTTTGGCGAACTTGGTAGTGCTATGCCACGGGCGAAATTCCCGGCAATGTACGGAAACGAGGCGATCTCATTCCAGTAGGATTTTATGTCAGACAGTAGAGCAGTTAGAAGAGGGTCCAAAAGGCAGTCCTCTAGAATTCGTTTCAATTCGTAACCAGCCAGTCCGATTTGTCGGAACCTCATCATAAAAGCGTTCCAAAACGAGCGGCAGCCAGTTATCAATTGGCGCCATCGATAACTGATGGCTATGTGACCGACTTGTGCCTGCGGCTGGCATTCAGCTGGAAGACACCAGTTTGGCAAAAGATTTCGGTTATTTCGGAGGCTACTTTCATGGCCAATGCACACTCTGCCAAAGTGGATTTCGGATCGCCAGAGTTACGTAGCCGGAATCGAGTGGATAGTGGTGGGCCAGTTACCTCAACCACTGTGCATACAGCCTGATCTCCCGTTTCTGATACACTGTACATACTAATGTCAAGAGAGTCCAATGTGCGTTCAGCTGCAGCACCCTTCCGGGGCCTAACTGCCATGCCACCCGAAGGAAGCACGAGAGATAGGATACTGCCAGGTTGCCCAAGCCTAGACAAGGGAAGTCGAGTAGCGGAGGTCGGATTCGAACCACGAACCTTCCGGTCAGTAAATTCGCGCTCTAACCACTTGGGCCATCTCGCCCAATGTGACAGCCAGAACAGCCTGAGAGCCTGTTTGCTTCAGTACGATACCAGTAAAAGCGGTCAGACGGGCCTGCTAAGAGAGGTATTGAGTGGAGAAAGAAAACTATGTGAAAAAGAAGGAAAGAGGCGTCAGCTGTAACCTGTTTTTGCTTACCTACCACGGTAATGAAGCGAGCAGCCGACGACATCACGCGAGGGTAGGTACGGTACGACTTTATTGATAGTTTTGGGAATCATGGTTGCCATAACGTCCAGACCAAGATTACTAGGGACTAGCAGCAAAGACTCTGGATCAAAAGGCTGACTGAAAAGCAGCGGGAATCGACGGAGAATGCCAGGAGACTGTGGTGCTCAGACCCAACATACAGCTGCCACGTTGACGTGGTTATTGGCCTTGAGTGCTGCGAAAATCCCGCGGGGGTTACTGGCTGGAACTTTGTTGTACAAGATATAATCATGCCAGGCAGGTAGTAATGCTGCTTTCCCCTGAGAAGGAAAAGGTCAATCCTAGAAAACCGCACACTCCGATCGCCCAGCAGTTGACCGTGCACGCCGGTGCATTATTCGATACGGTCGAAAGAGCCCGGGGCTGCTAAGGCTGCGTGCTACGCTCAGCCGCACTAGGAGTGAGATAATAATGCCGCCCTTGGGTCAAGCCAGCCCCCTGCCACCGATTAAGTCAAACTTTTGAGCCATCATTTGAGGTCACCGTCTCCAAAGAAAGTTTTGATGCACGCGGGTCAGACTTCCGAATCATCATTCCGCTGCCTTGCGAGTCGGACTTTTGACTCAAAGGCTCAAAAGGGTTACTTCAACAAAACCCACTTCACCAGCCTGGCCAACCAGGAAGTATCACATGGGAGAGTCGTTTTTTAACCGAGGTCCATCCCCACTCCCTTCCCACTGCACAAGCAAACGATGCTGGGTCACTTGACTGCCAGTTATCTAACCAACCGTCATTTAGCTGAAGTAATCTTTCGGTGCCTAACTGCCATGACACCAGAAGAAAGCACGAGGGCTGAGATACAGCCAATTGCCTAAGTCTAGATAGGGGAAATCGAGAAGCAGAGGTTGGGTTCGAACCGCGGTCAGTGACTCTGACCAACATGTCTTATACACTCCGCTGCCGGATATGAAAAAAAGATCACTAAACCCACGAGATTCTTTCTACATAGTCGCTTCCAACGCCCGTACTCCAGGCCAAATTGACAGACCTCATTGATCAGACCATGAAAGAGAAGAAAGCGTTCAGCTGTAGCACCCTTCCGGTGCCTAGCTACCATGCAACCCGAAGGAAGAACGAGGGCTGGGATACTGCCAGGTTGCTCAAGACTAGACAGGGGAAGTCGAGTGGCGGAGGTCGGATTCGAACCACGGACCTTCCAGTCAGTAAATTCGCGCTCTAACCACTTGGGCCATCTCGCCCAGACCATAAACTCCCCTAAATTAGTGTATGGTTTGTGTACGAAATACGAACCTAAGAAGCCAAGACGGCCAGCTCCAAGGATGAACCCGGGGGTTTCAAAACCCACCCGTTGTTCTCACGGGGACCGCGATGACTCGCGACCCATATGTCATGGGAGCTGCACCCAGTTCCAGAGCTGGGTGCTTTGCTGGACTAGATCCCAGTGAACACAAATCTCTGCGCAGATCGGTTAAACAGTTTAATCAAGTTCACCACTACTCCACATACAAAACGCTAACTGTATGTAGTATCGGTGTATGCTCCAACGTACTGCGGTTTTGACGCTATGAAGAATAATTTCTGTCGAGAGTGATCAAGACTCACTTGTCGAGCAAAAAGCACTAAATCTGTAATCACTGTGGGCGATATAAATGTACAAGTTGATCGCCTTTGACTCCTCCGAATCACATCTGGGCAACTGATTCGGAGAAGAGACTCGTCGTACAGACAAAGAACGACTCCTCCAGTTGTGTGCTTATCATGAACTGTACCTAGCCAGCACGAACTTTCAGCAGAAACGTTTGCATCGCATAACCTGGCAGATGCCAAATGCACATCAGTTGTGGACCCAGTTGGATCAGATACCTCTTAAGGGTACACAACCCAATTTTAATCACGTCATGACGCATGCATGCCTGATAGTTTGTCTCCCTTCAGGCCATCGCAAGTCACCAAGAAGCATGCCAAACCACCATCGGAAAACTATTATAGCTTAGGAGTATCGATCTCAGCTAGCTAAACAACCCTCTACAGTAAACCAATACTGAATTGGTAGGGACAACGTGGCAACCATGGCGGAATGTGAAATGCGCTAAGCTACGGTTCCTCAGTGCTGTCTGTTCGACTTCTTCGAACACTGGATGTCATCGAGATCGCTATCCATGATCGATGCCAAGAAATCCATAGCTGCAGGCAACGAGTACAACGGCTCATGCAAATCCCTCAATCGACTAATAATGAAGAGTCTAAGGAAAGGCCGACAGCTCAGCTGGAAATCGAAAGCCCAGTAGACGGAGAAGGGCTTAGATACCGGAAACAGCCGTGCTCTACATCAACTGATACGATCAACTACCCCATAGCAAAGCAACGGACAGTGAAACGATAAGTGAAAAAGGCAGCACATTAGTTCATCCGCAAAACCGTCGTCCGGAAAGATGGGCTGAACACTTCAAAGAACAGTTTAGCTGGCCTCCCGCAGCAAAGCCTGCGGAGAAAGTACATACGGACGAATGGAACGTAAACCTTATTCGCCCCTCGAAAGAAGAAATAAAGTACGAAATAACAGACTGAAACGTGAGGAGACACAGGGAACAGACGGTCTGTATCGAGCCCTCTTCAGAGAAGGCCATCTAACAAAGCCCATAAGGCGCGATGTGCAAAGAAGACAAAGTGCCTACAGAATGGGACCTATCAACAGTTATTCCGGTCTTCAAAAAGGGTACACGGACCACCGTCGCATCGGCCAGGTAGCTGTGGCAGCGGTGCTCTGGTCTTATCCTTCGAAAGTTGACTAAACACAGGGAGAGACAGATCCGCGAAAACCGAACTGGGTTCTGTCCTGCAAAAGGATGCATCGATCGCATCTTCATCCTCCGACAGATTCTGAAACAGTGAGTGCTTCCAGCAACCATCAATGGTTTTTTTCGTTGACTTGAAAGCTGCCTTTGACTCTGCGGACCGTCATGCATGATAATAGTGTATATGAAGCAAAGGTGTCCCCATAAATTCTTGACCCTACTTAAGGCCCTGTACACCAACTCCTTCGGTCGCGTGGTCTATGAAAGCCCTCGCCTGAGGTCGTCACAACAAGTGTTGTCAATCAGGATTGTCCTCTTTCACTATTCCCCTTGAACTTTGTCATTGTACGATAATGGAAGACTCACTACGAGCCTCTAAAACCCGGGACGACCGCTCACAAATATCAAGTACAAAGAATCTCTTCTCGGATCTGACCCCACGGTAATGCAGATAATCTAGAACAATCTAAACAATTCCGCCCCATTGTTTGGCATGCGCTTCACACCTGCCAAGTGTGAAGTGCTACTGCAAGATTGGGTGGGCTCGAACCCTAGCCTCACGCTTGCGGATGAGCCAACTGAGGTAGTCATCATCACCATCGACAGCATGACATCAGTGTTCAACACCGATGCTTCACTGCCGACCGAGGTAGTAGGCGAATTGGTCTACATGGGCAGCTGTATTAGATCTGGTGGCTGTCATGAAGATTATTTGTGCTCACATTATCGTTTTGTATTAACCAAGCTTTCGCCTTCATTTTCAGCTTATGTACGTCTATTCTTAGACAAGTAAAGCGCTATTCATTCTACGCTATTCATTCTTGTTCTCGCGCTCAATCAGAATCGACATTCTATTCGCAACAATTTACTTGTCTAAGAATACAATGAAACCGTTGCTGCGACCCAAGTGTTTTGATGCAGATCCTAATTCTCCAGACGCAACAACGCGTTCATCATCATCATCAACGACAGCATGACATCAGTGTTCAACACCAATGCTTCATCGCCGTAGCAACAACGCGTTGGAATCATTGGTTCCGAACCTTCCAAACGTTTCTGGGCACTGTCGAATCGCCCAATCTAAATAAACTCGAAACTCTGATCCATTTTGTGGATGCACCTGTATACGTTTATATCGCTGACTGTCCAGATTACGAATCAGCTATCAGTGCACTTGAAAAGTTGTACGTTCGTCCAAAGAATATAATTTATGCTCGCCATCTTCTACAAACTTGCAAACAAGACACCAGTCAAGATGTTGATCAGTTTGTTCAGAGGCTTAAATCCCTGGCCAAAAATTGTGATTTCAAGGCGGTGTCCGCCATTGACCATCAAAACGAAAGTGTACGCGATGCTCTAATCAACGGACTTCAGTCTACTACCATCAGAGAACGACTTCTAGCTCAAAACGAACTCACTCTCGATGAAGCTCATGAATTGGCCAGGTCATTAGAATTGGCCCACAAACAAGCTCAGTCATACTCACATAACCAGGCGATATCATTTTCTGCGGCTGCAGCACCTTTACAGACATCTACAGTTATCCCTTCACACTCAAACTCCCCTGATTCTACACCCTATCTCTCGTCAATCAGTTCTCAGATATGTTACTTTTGTGGTCGTTCCAGACATCCACGGTCAAAGTGCCCCGCAAGAGAAGCAGTTTGTAAATCATGTGGCAAAACAGGCCATTTTCAGCGTGTTTGTCGATCCAAATCTGTAAAGTGTCACTCAAATTGCACAACGGATTCGGCCTTATCTTCCCTGTTGACTGCTGCGGCCCCGAACTGCTTGTCTCGCACGGTGACCAGCATAAAGGTGAACGGGATATCGCTTCAGGCCCTCATAGACACAGGAAGTTCGAGCAGTTACATATCTCCTTTGGTGGTTGGTAAACATGGCTGGAAGGTATATGCTAACAATTCTGTGATTACCATGGCATCTACCTCTCTGACGTGTTCAACTAGAGGCTACTGCTACGCATCCATCGATTACAGGGGCACCGTTTACAAAAAGATCAAACTATTGGTATTACCCAATCTATGTGCTGACCTGCTGCTAGGCCATGACTTCCTTGGTCTACATAACAAAGTTGAAATCACATTCGGTGGGGACCGAGGTCCATTCACCCTCTGCGGTCTACCTGCTGCTGCGGTCGAGTCACCTCCTCTTTTTGCTAACCTCTCACCCGACTGCAAGCCTGTTG